TTGATTTTCATAAGTACTCTTGTATATCTCAGTTTATAGATATACATATTCATACTTTGATTATCGGCATTTGTATACCGTAATTTTGATACATCACAACAGAAGTGATTATTTTGATTTCGGAAAATAATATGTAGAGTATATAAGTTTCTGCGTCTTATCATTGTGTCTATAAATTCTTTGTCTTTACACATTTTAAAAATAATTTTGTTTTATAGATATTTTTTAAACAGAATGAAGCAAATTGTTCAGCATTTCGTAACTTTATGTATCGAATTGCAATTTCTAATTTTATAATCTTCCACTTACATCAGTTTCATCTGAATTTTATTAGTTTATTTAAAATTTTTCTCTACTTCAGTCTTGTTTCCGATGTTTTTATTACACTTGTTTCAATGTTATGAATCATTTTCCAGTTCATGCTTATTTACCATAATTCAATTTTTGAGCTTAGGATAGCATTGTTATACTGTTTCAAGGACTATGAAGCTGCAGTACAATATCAGAACGTTTTCTCACATTCATTGTTGATCTGCTCTGAACCTAATAATAACAACTGTTTGTTTTCCGGAAGCTTCATATAATACATATAATGTCGTTCCGATCATTCTGCCATTTAGAGATCGCTAGAGACAATTCTACTTATGATTTTCGTTCATTTATCATTTCTAGGTTTACGAGTATTAGTAACATTATGAATACAACATCGGATAATATCTGGACACGACAAGGACCTCGAAATGAACTTGTCGAACGGTAACTTGCTATTTTTGGTTTTATGAAATTGGAATGTTACAATAGTTAGACTAGTGGTAGTAGGGCTAGAATGTTTCGAGATCGTAATGACTGTTATATCCATTCTCATAATATTGCAATTCCATTATATCGATTTTTAGGAATGAAAATTATTTCTGTTTAAATGGTTGTAAAATAAATAATTATAATGTTACAAATCTGATCTTATCATTCATCTTTAATTTTAAACTCTCCCACCTATTTTTTTCAACCTTGTTGCTCATATTATTTGTTAAATTCACATTTGCATTTTTCTTGCTATTTTACTACTTAAATGAAGTAATATCTTTTATGAATATCTTATTTGCCACTACTCTGCTGTAATTTTATCTCTTCTGCTCATGATTACATTATACATATTAAGTTGATTGAATTATCTTTTTATTCTTTCTAGGTTTTTGAATAATTTCAAAGTGTAAGAATGATCTAAGAGTGAAAACTGAATTGTTCTGAGTTCTTTCTTCGTTGGTCTTATTTTCTTACCAATTTCATCTCTAGGGACCTGTTCTCCGGCATTAACTGTGGGATCAATTTCGAGAAGTATGAAGAAATACCGGTTGAGGCAACAGGGATTGATGTGCCGTATCCATGCGCGGCGGTAGCGTTTCATTTCTTGAAAAGCTATTGATTATATTTCAATCTAATTTTTGAAAAAAAAAGGAAAAATTTATGAGTTCAAAATTATGCCAGCTTTCGTACTTTCTATTTGTATTGTACTATTCATCTACTTTCTGTGGGAAGGAATTTCTTGACAAATATTTTTAGTTCGATGAATTGCAATTACATCCATGGATTCAAGAAAATATCAAGAAATTAGGATATGCGAAACCAACGCCAGTCCAAGTATCTTAATTTCCATTTAATGCTTGAAAGACTTTCACTTACATTTTTAAAAATTTGTTGTAATTTGAGCATCTCCACTTTTTTCTTTTTCAGAAATATTCTATTCCGAGTTTACTAAGCTGCCGCGATCTGATGTCTTGCGCACAGACCGGTTCAGGAAAAACTGCAGCTTTTCTAGTACCACTTATCAATCACATCATTTTAAATAAGATGAATGCCATGAGCATGGTAGGTAATTCAAAACCATTTCAATTAATTCACTCTTTATATTTAGAATTGAATTGTTTTGTTATTTTTTGTACTTGATGTGCTTCAGCTAAATCCTACCAAAATAATGTGCCAATGGTGCAGCAATGGTTAATACTGTTCCCAAAGTTTGAGACAAGTTAAAAAAACATCGAAATGAATTAAAGATATAACGATGTCTTCTTAAATAAATTAAAGATCAGGCCTTTCAAATCTCAAATGTTCATATCTGTTCTTTCAGCTTATATTATTTATCCATTACGTTTATTTGTTATATTGCTTTCCTTTAATTTATTTGCAGTTGGAGAAAACAGGGATTTTTAGGCTTCTCAAGAAAACAAGTCTTTAGGGTTCTATACTTCAACCCACTTAATTTTAACATGTTTCATGCTTCTATTTTCCATCTGCTTGTTAAATTATTTTCAGTCACAGGTCATGAGTACCAATCGTCGTACGGTGTTTCCAGTTGCACTGATACTGTCGCCAACTCGTGAGCTAGCTATGCAAATTCATAAAGAAGCTCTGAAATTTGCCTATCGAACTAACGTTATATCTGCTGTACTTTATGGTGGTCGTGAAAACTATCGCGGTCAAATAAAAAAATTAACGGTATATTAGTGGTAGAAGTATTGTGATAAAATGTTTCGTAATCATTTTCTATGCATCATATAATTTGTTGTAATAGATGATATTCGATTTTAAAATACATAAACATAAAATCATATTAATTTCTTAGTTTGGATGTCATGTGCTTATTGCCACACCGGGACGTCTACTAGATGTGATGAATCAGAATGCTATCTCCCTTCGTGATTGTAAGTTTCTGATCCTCGATGAAGCAGATCGAATGCTTGATATGGGTTTTGAACCTCAAATTCGGCAAATTGTAGAGCGTTATTCCATGCCGATAAAGGTTTAATTTTATAATGTTATCATCACTTCGTCTCATTTTTTTTGGCAATTTGTCTCATTTCTTTTGGAGAGGTATCTTGTATAGTTGAATAATACAGCTTCCAAAAAATAGTCCAAATGTGAGCATTCTGTTCTGTTTAATAACGATTACGAATGATTTAAGTAATTTGACACTTCTGATCGATACACATTTTCAAGACTGTTTTTGATCTTCGGGAACACATATCTAATTCAGTAACATTTCACAATGTGGTATTTTTCAGGGTAAACGCGTTACTGCAATGTTTTCTGCAACATTTCCAAAAGAAATACAGATATTGGCACAGGATTTTCTTATGCCAAATTATGTATTTCTTGCTGTTGGACGCGTCGGTTCAACATCTGAAAATATTGTACAAAAAATTATGTGGGTGAAAGATCATGATAAGATGCGTTTGCTTATGGAGCTTCTCGATGTTGACGGTACTTTTTTCTCTATATATATTTGTTAGCTTAAGAAGTTAGCTTGTCTACTTGTTCTGGAATTTTATTTCTCCACAAGTTCAATGATTTGAAGAAAAACTCGATGATTGTATTTCAAGATAATAAATTCATAAGTCTTTAATGTATTTCAAGATAATAGTAAATTCATAAGTCTCTTAGATCTGCCCGCAGTACAGTTCGCCCAATACTACTTTGTGCTTTTTAAGAGCGATTGAAGATACATTCCGTTTAGATAGTATTTGATTTTCAAATTATTCATCAGTTAAGCCAGCTCTTTTGATGTTTTATCATATCATATGGCAGTATTTTGTTTGCTTAAAACTTCTGAGAGGGATTGTTGTCACTTTCAACGTTGCATTTTTCAAATTTCAAGAATTGATAATCTGAGGATAAATCAAATTATTTTAAACCAACAACATAGTGGCAGTTCTTTTTTGAAATGAATATTCCAAATCAAACTGACTTTACTAAATTATACAAATTTCAGCGAATGAAGGACGTACTTTAGTATTCGTTGAAACGAAACGGGGTGCAAATGAGTTAGCATGGCATCTTCAGTGCAATAACTATAATGTTGTGCCCATTCATGGTGATCTTAAGCAATACGAAAGAGAACGCCATCTGGAAATGTTCAGATCTGGACAAACAAATATATTAGTTGCAACAGCTGTAAGATTTCTCTTTATACTTGCATAAATTAAAAACTCCAAAGATGCATTCATTTATTGCTGTTATTTCACTCCTTAAGGGAGAATATAGAGAATTTTCTAGCGATGCTCATTAATGTTACACAGCCATTTAATCTGTCTAATATCATTGTTATAAATTAATGTTACTAAATTTATAGTTGCATTGGTTAGTCGTTTAGAGATAAAAATATGATTGATACAAAAACGCAATAATGCATATCATATTTTTTGCTGCTATAAAATTAAATTTTTTGATAGTACGAAATCACTATATATTATGCATACAAATTTTAGGTAGCAGCCAGAGGTCTTGATATTCCAAATGTGAAGCATGTGATCAACTTCGATCTTCCTACTTACATTGATGAGTATGTTCATCGTATTGGCCGTACAGGACGTGTTGGGAATATTGGATTGGCGACTTCATTCTTCACAGATCGAAATCGGAATATCAGTCACGATTTGATGGATCTTTTGGTTGAATCTAATCAAGAAGTGCCAGATTGGCTGAATAAAATGACTAAGGGAAGCTCCAGAAGCGCTTCCAAATACTACGATAGATCACACAGAGGGTTTTCTTTTCAGTTCTCCGTTTATGTAATGTGCATATCGAAGAGATGAAATTGGAGTAAGAACATAATTACTAAGTATCGCAGTAATCAGCAATCCTAGTTACTGCTTTGCTTTTTGTCTGTGCTATTGTATCATAGCAGGAATACCATGTGATGACTTTCAGACGTTTTGGTGCACAAGATCATCGCTTAAATGTTGGGAGTAACTCATTTTATTCCAATCGTCCTGCAACTGTTGTGCAAAATTCTGGGAAAGAATCGAATTCTATTCCCTCATACAATCAAAGCAACGTCCATCCATCGTAAGTTCTTGTTATAAATTTACTTTAATCGACAGCTTTGCACTCTTACCTATTTTCGTATTAATTTGGCTTAGTCAACGATCAAAATTCACTTGGAGAAGTGCGCTACTAATTGTTCATATTTGATAACACAACGCTGATAGACATTCATTAATACCTGTCTTGTCCGATCTGATAATATAGTACTAAATACAAAAGTTAAAAATTGATTTTCTTTCTATTAACTTTATTAATATAATTGCTCATTATCAGTTATAGCTTCAGTCATGGTGATACTCGAAATGTTTCTATGAATACAACGTTCGCTGCTTTCCGAAACAATATGTACCAGGCTCTTCAAATAGGTAGTACTTATCAGCCACATCGAGATTCCTTTTCATTCATACCATCTGTTCCACTCACCGGTGTTAACCATTGGGATACTAATGCTGGCACTTCGCAGAGTGCAGGGTAAGTGAAGTTCAAAAATTAGTTCTTTTCGTATTGCCTTATGTAGATAGCATAACTTTTTTAAGATTAAGATTCAATGATTAAATTCGATTATATTGATTTTCATGCTGCTTTTTATTGTTTTCGTGAGAAAAAAATTTCAGGTTTTTACAACCTAATAACTTAACTTATGGCGGGCATTTTGGAACTCATACATCACAAGCAGCTTCTGACAATTGGCAGCGTTGATTTTATCGGATCTCTTATTTTGCTAGCTTTAATCACTTATTGTTTCCTTTTTTAGCATTTTTTAGGTTCTAATTTTGATTTAATGACTGCTAATTTTTTATATAAAAATTTTCATGTAAAAATTAAGTTTAGATTTTAGGTCCGAGTTTAGTTTTAATTCTGAGATGTTTGAAAATAGCACCATTACTTAAAGTGGTTTATCAAAATCCAAATCTGTTTCAAACTGATAAATATAAGCATTTTCTGATCAAAGCAGTTAACATCATCAAATATTCGTTCGAATTTTTGTAGGTATCATTTTTTAATTGCTAATAATGCGGCACACTCCTTCTACATGCTTAGTATATATGCAAATTTATCTGAAGGAGTTTATGGAGGTAATCTCCTGAAATAATTAGAATTAAACATGAATGCATGAAGAAATGTGATACTCATTAATACATGATTGTTTGCTTTTTTCAACCATTTGAAGACTCTTTTTACAAAAATTAAAAGGAACATGTGTACTGGATGAAATTAGTCATTTCGATCAAAAATACGAGTCTTTAAAGAATGAAATGGGATAATTTGAATGGTCTGTTTGTTTTAATTCTATAGAATTTCACTTAAGCCTTGAAAATTCCATTTATCAGTTGAAACACTGGTAGTTTTAGAAAAGCAAAAGTTAAGCTTTTCAAAAAAAGATAATACTAAAATAATGAATCAATGAATCTTTCAAAAAAAACAAAAAACTGTACGATGGTTGAATTGCATCGGGTTGTAATTAGTCGAAAATTACTTCATAAGTACACTTGTCTTGTTTTTCAAAATTTTTGGTGGATTTTTTTTTTTGATATGTTAATGCCAGATTTCAGTTAATTAATATGTAAAATCTTTTCATTTAATTTCGCATTAAAATCTTTTTTTTTTTTCATCCCTTCATTTCTTTAACATTTTTCCCTGTGTGCTGTTGTGGTATACGCGCGTTAACTTGTCATTTTCTGTTGTTTTCAGATCTCTTCAGATACAATTCCTCCGGCCTTGTTCATCAAAGATTTGTAATCTTTGTCGGTTAATATTATCAGACATCTCTTTCACTTACTATATTACTACATTTTCATCGCTGAATTTTAAAGAAAAGCCAAAATGTGAACATTCCGCAAAATGCTGTGTTGACTTAGGAATGAGTTTTTCTGGATAACTAATATTTTGAAATTTTGTCAGTTGATATGTTCAATCTTAATATCTATAGGATGCTTACTAAAAATTCTGTACATGAGGCAAAATAAAAAGAAATTTTTGTATTAAAAAGTAACTGATAGTATTTCTAGAGTATGGTTACTGCAAGAGATATGGTTATTTCTAAAAGGACAGACGAAATATTGTTGAAATGGGGATTGAAAAACTGCTTACATAAGTATAACTGAAATAGTTATACAAAAAAAATAACATTAGAAATAAATAGGTAGGTACATCTTATTATTTTTGATTCTCAAATTGTCTCCTGAATGTTGTTATAAGCTTTAATGAATATTCAGATGCAATGATAGCATTGTCGTTGATTTTTACAAATTTCTCCGTTTCAACTTTATTCCTCCATGTTTTTGATGTATTGATATCTCTATACCTTACTTTTGTCCTTGCGTTGCCTAATTCTGACATTTTCTAAGTGTATCTTCCTACTTCACGTTATGCAATTACTTGATTTTGCATTGTAGTGATAATGTTTCAAGAAAAATGTTTATTGGTTGTGTTTTTTTATATATTTAGATTTTTTTGTGAGAAATGAGATAAGATGGAAGCTGTTGACTTTTTTCTTTCTCCGGTTGCTTTTTTTTCAAGTAATGAAACTATTGTTAAGAGATTTGAAGGAAATTATGAAAATTATTAATATTCTGTGTATGTTTTATTTTCACGAAATTTAAAGCAATGTTGGATCCGTTTCAAAATATTCAGCCAATGATTTCTCAGGTGAACTGATACAGCCGCTTGTTTCAGTTTCCGTTTTACCATTATTTAAATCATTATCATCGTTCGAGCTACCGGATTGTTCATCTCGTTGATTGCCTTCTTCTGGACTTACTGATGCTCGCCACGATTCTTCCATAGAATCACCTGTTGAGTCGCGTGTTATCTGAAATTCAATGATTCCATATATGGGTTCAGAGTTAAAGTTGTTGGCAGTGATGGAGAAGAATGCAAGATTTTACCACTCTTATAAATTACAGAATGAGTTGAAAAAAAAGTCCATCGAACCCAACTGTCCTCAAATTTGTTATATTTAAGAAGGCTAGAAAAGGATTTTGAAATTTTCAGATACTTCATACAATTTCTCAACTCACAATCAAAAATGCCTTCCTATATCAGTAATTCATGTGCTTTGCAGGTTTTTAATTAAAAAAAAATACCGGTTCATGAAACGAAGTACTTGGAAGGGATAGTATGTGAGGTGAGTTGCTAGAAGCTTCACGACATTGTGTACTATTACGACGAAATTTTGCCCGAGCATTTTGAAACCAGACCTGAATTAGTGTAATACTTTGAATAATATTTAATAATATTTAATTATGTCACACATTATATTACATCGTATGAACTCATAGAAGATAACTCTTTTTTCCAATTTTTCAAAAAACTCTAGACTATAATAACATGTAATATTCATAAATATCAAATATTGATAGACTTCCATCATCGAAAATTCTTTTTTAATCAAAAAAAAGCTCAAATTACCTGTAAAACCCTCTTAGTAAGACCAGTTCTTTGTGCCAATTGTTTCAAGTCTTTAGCATCCGGATTATGATTCAAATTGAAATAACTTTTCATTGTCCTTAGTTGATGATGCTTGAAACTGGTACGCATTCGTTTTGATTTATGCGTTATACTTAGCGTTTCTTCTTCAGCGCAATCTATAGATTGATCGGTTAGTTATTGAGTATTCAAAAAAAGAGAAAATAAGCAAAAGTTCACACTTTTTAGTTCATTATTTAAAAAATATGTCTGAAAAACTGAAAGGTACAACGAGTCATGACTGTACGGCATGAAGGCATGAATTTCACCTTACTCTGACAGGTCAAATTAAGGTCAAAATATCAAATGACCTCAAACTCGACAGCAGCATTGCTTATGCACATATTAAAATGTTTAAGATAACACACTTTAATATGTGCATAAGCAATAATGAAGATTCATGTATACATATAATTGATCGAAAATGAGTCTTCCGAAGAAGGCATCAAACATCTAACCGTTTATTTGACCTCTATTAGGCTAAAAGGTGCAAAGTTCAATCCTTCATCACTTTCCCTAATAAAAAGAATTTTTAGATATGTGTACCGTAGTATTAGAAAGATACTACGGTACACATATCTAAAAACTCTTTCCTTAAAATAACTGAAATAATTAACACTCCTGTCTATTCCTCAACCAAAAGCTATGTTAGCTATTTTGCTATCAAAGGAACAAAGCGGCTATTTGAATGTATTTAACAAAGCCTATGTTTTCCGCACATTCTCCAATTAGCGCTCAGATACGGTAGTTATATGTGAATTTGTTCATTCGCATAATATCTTTCATAATTTTTATTGCATTTCTAAAATCTCATCCTTTCGAATTCTAATGTAAAACTATACATTCATCCAATTTTATCAATTTTATCCCTTTCTTTCTCTTTCTTTTCACATTTTTCATTCTTTTCCAAAATTGGACAGTTTACCTGGTTCCACCTTCTTTCGAATATATGATAAACGAAAGGAAAATTATTACTCTTATCCATGCAGTTGTTTTTATCAAAAAAAAAAAGAAGCATGGAATTGAAAACAATTAAAGGTTTTGCCTCAAAAGTAGTTAAAAAAAAATGCTTTGATAACGGATAACATCATCACTGTAAATATTAAAATAACAAAAATGACTGATAATGCAAACATTTAAGTGGATGTATAAAATTATAAATGATACTGCTTAAGTTTTATTTCTTCTATAGATCGAATTTGAATTAAAATTTCTAAATGTAAATATTCAAATTGCTACTATTCCCAATTCATAGCATTAAATAGCTACTATCTGAAGTGGCTGCGAAAGGATGAAGGATTTATCGGAAAATGAAAAAATCAATTAAAAAACACCAGTGCCAACCAATACTATCTACAGTACTCTCGATGTCATCATTTGATTTTTTCCACTTTCGGTAGCGTTCTTTTCCTCGTACCAATACAATGTCAGATAAATCGGTGGTTCGCAAAGAATTGTCATCAGTAGGATTGATTGCACCAAAATGCGCTGAAACCTGAATATCATTTCCTTACTGAATTAAAGCATATCATAACTTTTCTTCGCTAGTATTTTAATATTTTAAAAATATTTTTTTTAATATTTAAAAACATTTAATTTTATTTCAGTAATATCAATAATATGCACCTCATTGAAGAATTTATTTTTATTGCTTCTTGATTCATTTCAAACTACAACAGAAATTAAGAAATTTCGAAATTGATTCATTCATTTTCACCACTCATTTGCATCATTCTCAAATTCATTCTTCGTATTTTAATCAAAAAATTGTTATCACTATCAATATAAATAACAGTGAAAACTTCCTAAAGATATGGTTTGAGTAATTTTAAAGGGTTAATGAGTTTAGAACAGAAAAGATGAAATTCCATTTCTTCATTCATTTTCATTTATCATATGAATGGAAGAGATTTTTATTTTTTTTTTTTGGAAATTTATAAATTGTCACCATTTATTTGTTTAACCATATAGAGATTAGAATATCTATCTGTACCACTCTCATTTACTTCTATTTTATATTACTTTAGTAAAATTATCAGCTATAGAATAAATTCCTAAAAATTTTTGCAATAGTTAATTAATGATTGATTAATGATTTCATTTTTTAAAGGTTTACAAGCCTTGCCTTTAACAATTATTAATACATGTATATTATTTCAAGTGAAATTTGTTCAAACATTGACACGAACTTATTTTAAAATAAATCATATAAATTTTAAAAAAAAAGTAATAATGAAATAAAAATAAGTACCGTGACAATACAATGTCCCCTTACATCCCATCATAAATAATTCACTCGGACGAAGTGGCGCAGAACAAATGCAACACGTGAAACATTTCAAATGAAAAATTGCTTCATTGGCTCGCATGACAATATCATCGTTACATAATATGGCAGCACATCGTTCACAACGTTTACCGTATTTACTGTATAAATAATTTAATGAATCTTAAAGCATCATCACTGAATAGCTGTTTTATTTTAATATTTTAAATGATGAAATGTTAAAATGAAAATTATCAACATGGTGAAAATATATCTATTGTAATGTGACATTTGATGAATTTTTTTTAAATTAATTTTAACTGCTATTTGAATTATTTGATTAATAAATTGCAAAAATGAATGATACAATAACAATGATCCAAATGGATAAAATTTGCTGAGAAAATATGGTAAAATAAGGAAAGTTTGGATTACATACGGTGTGATTAATTTAATTTAGTGTTAACTTTTATTTATGCATAATAAATCTTCACATATGTATGTTTACATTAATTTTTGTAACTATAAATAACTAAAATAATAAGTATTAATTTTAGGCTTCCAATTATGGATTGAAATTTTTTTTTTTTGATATGATAATTTTTATAATGAATGGAATAATTTCTTCTTACGTGAGATAATCATCACGACAGAGTACCATTCCATCTTTGTAGTAACAAGTGGATGCGCTCTGTAATGAGCAATGACATAGGAAGCAACGTAGACATTCATGGTGCCAACTTTGTTCGTTCATTAAAAGGAAATGTTGATCGGTAATGGGAATCATGCAAGATACACAACGACCTGTTATAGCAATTAATTAATTTAAAACGAAAATACAACTGAAAGAAAAGCTGTGAAAAATTCGAATGGTAATGAACGGTTTCATTAAAATGATATGAAAAAGATAGGATGGATGGATTGATCATTTTATTGAAGTTTAAATTATATTATATGCAATTCATTAAGTTTAACTGAAAAACTAAAAAGTTCCGCGTAGTGATTTATTTCTTCTTGAAAAAAATTAACATTGTAAGATTGCTTTTGAAAAAAAAAAAAGAAAAAGTGCCATTTTTATCTTTTTCTTCTTAAAATATATTTACCTGCTGTTGCAGTTTGACATAAAGCGGTTGAGGATGATGGAACGATTGATATTGGAGGTGATGATCCGGTTTGAGTGTTATCATTTAATGACGATAAATATATCATCCGGAAATCAACAAAATGAGTAATTGCACAAAATTGAGAAAAATATACGAATGAAAAATATGCGTTATAAAAAATTAATAATTTACATAATAAGTTTCACCAATAATATTGAGAGAAATTTCTGGAAATCTTCCACATAAGCATTGTATTATTTCATAATCATTACATTCATGCACAAATCTATTAATTAATTTTAAATTTCATTAACTTCTAATATCATACTACGAGAAAAATTCGATCTATAAGAATTTGTAATTTTACTAGAGTAACAGTTTTTGCTACAGCAAGACATTTTTACTACAGTAAACCGAAGAAATAAATGACGTTAAAAATTTCCAATAGATTTCTAAGGAATAGAAATTTTTTTTTTTTTTGTTTTAACAAATTCGAGAATAAAATTGAATGAAATTTAAGAAAAAAAAAATGGAACTGAATCGGTATGAAAGAGATGCATATGAAGGATAGTGGTGCGGCTTTAGGAGAATCGAAAGAGGATTATAAAAGTGGATGTAACAACAATTTTTGCGCTAAACAGATAATAATAGCTCAGTGATTTCCATCTCTCTCACTCTTAACAAAACGGTATCATTTATGATTGTTTATTACCAACCAATGTTTAGTTATGTTTATGTTACAATATATTGTCACAATATTGTGACATTTTATTCAACTCTATATTTGTCTCTTTATTTTTGAAAAGCAGCTTAAAAAAAAGTTTCAAATTTATTACACATTATTCTTACTTAACCGCAAATATCTGTTGTTAGTAAAAAGTGTAAATTATAGTTTGAATTTAAATTGCTACAAATTTTTTGATGATGCTAAATTAAAAGGAAAATTTGCTTCGTTTAAAAGACAAATTGGTAAATGACGCTGATATTGAGGATAAATTTGAGACAGTGAGAAAGAGAGAAAATGGATGATCAGTTAAAACTCTTCAAAGGACACTTGAAAAAAGAGGATGATACGCGTTTGCAGCTTGTTTCAATGATGATAATGACCGGAAAAACGGATTACAATTTGACACCAACCATTGGGATAGCAGGTGAAAAGCTAACCATGTAAAATTGAATCCATCCGAATTGTTTTCAGCTACCACGAAAGATATTATTACTACTGTTCTTATTATTAAAAAGGGAACAATCTGGATCCTAACAGATCGGATCCAGATTGTTCCCTTTTTAATAATAAGAACAGTAATAATATCTTATTATGCCGGAATGTGCAAGTTGCATTCATTGATATATACTTATTTATATAAATATATATAATCAGTGAAAATTTTGAAGATCAACTGGAAATCACCGATAAAATATCATCGAAGAATACTACGAAAAAATCCACACTGATAAATAATGCATTGTCAATAGACTAAACTGGATTACTCAAAATAGACATTTAATGATAGCTGGTAATTAAATCGATCTGCAATAATACTACCAGTTTTAAATATAGAGAAACTGTCTGTATA